GCGTTTGCTGATTATTTGATGTTTAGGTGAACGTTGCTATGCGGCAGATTGTTTGTTTCGTATGGGCTTGTGTATGTTTTTGCTTTATTTGACTTCGGTTATTGTTATGTGTACTATTCCTGTTTTCGGTTGTTAATAAAATTGATTATTTAGAATAAAAACAATTCGAGGAAGCTAATTAACGTTACTATCATTTGTAAAAATTCATATTATTATAAAGTTCTTTTGACCGAAAAAATAAAGTTTTAAAACTATGCCGTTTATTGTGAAAATTCATCCTTATTTATCGTCTAATGATAATTTTTATTATGAAATTATTTTAAAATACTAATTATAATACATTCTAAAAGATTTATCCTATATTTGGTATGAGGGAATCAAAAGGCTCCAAGGAAAAAAATTTTAATAAGCTCAATTTAAAAAATTAAAAAGGGTAGGGTTATAAAATTTTGATAAAGAAAAAATATAAAATAAGAAAAAAAGCAAAATTAGTTAAAAAAATTTTAATCCAATATTTGAAATCTTTTAAATAGAGTTCATTAGATTTTTTTTCCTTTACCTTCCTTTCCTTTCATTTCTCTTCTTGTACATATTACTAATATTAGTATGAGATGGCAGCGAATGCTCAGTTTGTCGACATGGTCCGATCTTGGCCCAATCGTATTAGGACAAAACGAAAGCAGGACACGGCATTTTTTATTTTGGTCCTAAAACAGAACGGAGATGTTCCCATCCTGTTCCGTCCTGTCTCAAGATTTTTTTTTTTAAATTTTATTACTATGTTTCTTCTTAAATGAATAAATATGTTCTTAAATGCATTTTTCCAACTAATTAAATTGAGCTTTCCACGTTAGTTTACTTTCAAGATGAACTCAAGGTAAAAAAAAAGAAAAACTTTCAAGATGAACAGCCACAACAGAATCCCGAATCGAAGAAGATAACATTGCAACATGAAAAAATAATACAGATTTAATAGGTCTAATTTCAATGATCTAACTAAAAAATTTTAGACAGAAAATCCCAATTTCATTCCACAAGACTATGGAGTGTTTAGATGAAAATCAAATTATAATTTTAAAAGTAATTTTATGGTATACAAAATAAATATGTAAAAAAATTTTATCTTGATTTATAAAAAAAATTTTTAAAAAAATACTTCAAAAAATATCAAAAAAACCTCATAAAATACTCTCTAGATAGAACAAAATACAAGATGAAAGTTTTGTCTCGTTTGTGGTTATTTACTAGAGGGTGTTTCGATGAAATCAAACCATGATTTGGAGAATAGTTTCTAGAGAATAGATTCTAGATAAAATAGATTTTATAAAGAACAGATTTTGTGAAAAAATGATTTTGAGAAATGAGAGTGTTTGGATAGTTGTTACCAGAAGCATTTTTTACATGTACGAATTACTAAAAAGGCACAAGTTAATATGATAATTATATAAGAGATAGATTTTATAATATATTTTGATTTGAAGAAATAAAATTGTTACTAAAATAATTTTTACTAACATAATTAATAATATATAAAATAATATAATTAATAATTAATTAATATGTATATATATTTATAAATTATAAGATTAGATAGTGAAGGACCGAGTGTGGAATGAAAAGTGAGGTATCAATTATGGGGGCTGTTTTGTCCCATGCTGTTGGATCCACACCAACGTTTGGAAAATTTGAGCCAGAAGCAATTTCAAACCACTTCTATCGAAACTACAGTTTTGAGATTCAAAACCATAGTTTTATCCCAAACCCTAATTTCATATTTTTCCTCCTGTTTGGCTGACTTCTTCCCCAAATGGTTTGAGGAGACATCTAAACAGGACCTTAGGACGACGGACAGTCCAAGTCTCGTTTCCATTAACATTTCTGGTAGAGTAGACAATAGGTGAGTAGGTTAGGATTCACAAGTACATCAACTTTTGTTATTTATATTGCATGCCAGTATTAATTAATATAAATAAATTTAAAAAATTAATTAAATTAATTATTTATAATAAATAATATGTTACTTTTTAAAAATATTTTTACTAATTAAATATATTGATTAGAACTATTACTATTATAAAGGCTATTTAAAAAAATAAATATAACAAACAAAATTATTTTTTTTTACCGGAACAAGCAAAATATATTAAAATTTTATGTTTAAAATTAAAATAAAAATTAAACAAATTTTTATATTAAATATGAAAAAAGTTTCCTTTTTTTTTTTATCCACTTGAGTTAGGCATTAAAGTTTAGCTTGTCACTTTTAGAAAAGGGTACGTGGGTTGGTCCCCAAAAAAGGTACCCACCTAGGTTAGTTGGTCTCCTCGTAAATAGAAATATAGAAATCCGTGTTAGAACTTGTAAGGTTGGTTCAATTTCCCAATAGTTACTCTTTCAATCCACAATATACCAGATATTTTTTAACTTTACAAAGGCAAATGTTTATGTTGATTATATCTAAAATATTTAATTTCATTTCAATTTTATTACTTCCTCTGATTATAAATATAAGCTGTATTAGGAAAAAATGTTTTAAATATAAAATTTAATTAACTAATTCATAAAAATTAAATAAATTAGTTAAATTAGTTCTTTACCCTCTTTATGTTAGAAAAAAATGCTAAGGTGAATCCGAATATTATATTTGAATTTAGATCACATCTATTAAATGAGTTTTATATTTGAAATTAAAGAAATTATAAGCAGTTAATCAATTAATTATAGTTAACATAGTATTGAATTTTGATAAGAATATATTTTAATAATATAAACTTTATTTAACTATTACTTACAATTTTTTTAAACATATAAGTTAGACAAAGAAGTTACTTTTATATTAAATATAATATTTTTAGTCTATTTTGTCTCTCAAATTTATAATTTTTTTTAAAAAAATATTTTTATTGATGGCATGTAGTAAGAGATTTCTATTGAGAAGAAATAGTAAAAATGTATTCCTCTCGTCCTATTTATAGGGGAGAGAGATAAAATACTTTTTGGTCCCGGGTACTTGAGAAATTTTTTGTATGTATGTATAATTTTACCTTTCATTTATTATTGTATTGACTTGTTTACATGATATGTAATGTATATTAAATAAAATTAGAAAGTTTTTTAATTTTAAATTAGAATTAATGATATTTAAGATTTTTTTTTGTCTATGTAAAACATGTTAAAATTGACTTGTAAATATGACTAAAGGGGTACATAATTAGAAAAAAAACATTCTAAAAAAACTGATAAATATATATTACAAATAAATAAATTAATTAATTTATTAATATTTTTAAATTATTTGTTCTATTGGTATATTAAGCACATGAAGAAGTAATTATTTGAGTTAAGATTCAATTCCCGCATCTAAATTGTTTGGTTGGTCTGTGGGTGTGTGTGTGTGATAATATTTGTTGCTGCCCATATCTACGGCTATAATTATCAAATGTCCAATGGGTCCTATGGCTTAAATTTAAGTGGCAACGGCTGAGCGCACGTTGAGAGACAAAGAACCATTGATCATTGAACATGAATGGTGAATCGTATCAGGATTGCGTGCGGGGTGTCCAACCCGGTTACGGTGCTTATAACTACAGAGTCAAGGATTCATTTTAATATAATTTCAATGGTTGAGTTCTAAAATTTTTAACTGATAGTTTTACATTAAAAAAAATCATTTTTTGTGGGAGAACTGACAAATTTTTATTTTAAATTTTTGACATATTAAAATATTAAATAATTAAAAGTATAAAAGTAAAATTATATTAAATCCAGACTGTCCATGGAGAGTCCTGATTTGATGATTATCACATGAACAATGAAAGTGATGAGCATTCAAATAAGTACATTAACTCATGAGTTACCTGTATGTGAACTATCTCTAGAGTATTGAATTTTGAACTACTGACTGAGTAATCAATTTTTCTAACAGCCAGTCAATTTGATCTTTTGCACTAAAATTAAATCACAACTTGTAACATACTACCTCCGGTCCTAATTATAAGACCCAGTTGACTAATTTGAGGAGATTAAGGAAAGAAGTTAAGTTAGTTATTTATAATAAATATATATTGTCTTTCCTAAAATATCCATACTAATCAACTATATTGGCTAAAACTACAATTATTAGAAGGACTATTTTGGAAAAAAATACATAAATATGAGAGACAAAGTGGATTGGGGTCTTATATTTAGGACCAAAATAAAAGTCAAACAAGGTCTTATATTAAGGACCGGAGATAGTATAAAAATTATGTTAAATAAATTTTTCTTCCAAAACCTAGCTCAAAAAAAAATGGTAACTTCTGAGTGTTGGTTTGCATTGTGGTGCGTTGGATTGTTAATTTATTTATTTTTGAAAGCCAGGTGAATGTTTACAATTTTTTTCCTTTTGGATGTAGTAATAATATAATTAAATGCAGCCGCGCACAAAAACTAATGTTTGCATGCTTAAGTGAATTAGTGCTTAATATTAAAAAAAAAAGGAAAATATAAGTTTTTGAAACACGTGGATGAAAATGAAGTGACGTTAAGGGAGAGGCGATCCTTGTTCAAAAGGGAAGCAAACAAAGTCTTGCCCGTGCGCCTCTATTTTGCTTGGGGTAGGGGCGTATGAAAAATAAATGCTCATCACTTTTAAAAGTTCAAATTATTATTGACGGAATAATTAATTTTTTATTAGGAGTTTCAGTCTGGGTAAAACAAATTTTCTGGCCAAAATAATTTTATTTTTATCTTTAATTCAGTTAAAATCGTGATTCTTAGATATAGATTGATTTTGGATGATTCACCTTCTTTCAGTTTACTTTCTCTAGACAATTATTATTTTGATAGATGCAGAATTTAAAATAAATATAATCTTATAAATAATGCAGTATATTCAACTCGGCATATTTTGAAGTTCTTGGCTGCCAAAAAATTATTGAATTAATTAAGCGGAAATATAATATACATATATATATATATATATATATATATATAATGACTAGTTACATTACAACATTATTTTTGCTTTTAAACACATCTAAAAACTATAGTTCCGGCAAGGAAAAAGGCATCAACAACGGTTGAAAACTGCTGTCGATTAACATACTAAGGAAAACTATTGCCCAAAGGTAATAGTTTTCTCATCTTACAGTCACCGCTTTCAAAGTGCAGTTTACAAGTAGGACTGCCGCCACCGCCGCCGCCGCCAACTTCATCTGCAACGCATAAAGATAGCTGATTCTTGTGTCCATTTTAGTGCTTAAAGGATGGGATTTGAAGGAACTCAGAGACAAAGGAGTCCAACATTTCAACAGTCACGTGCTGCATCACCACCACATGCGCCACTGTTCCGTTGCAAGCCAGACTCCACCTGCGAGCGAATTCATCATCTTCAGGCTTCTCAAACACTACGATGTTGCTAAACTCGTTCTTCATCGCACTGATTCCTGCCTCCCGTAGCTTGTCTCGCAGGTAATCTGCATTTCTCATACACTGCTCCACTTCCTTCTTGAGGCCTAATAAGCCTTTCTTCTTCAGAGCATACCAGAGGAAGATCGGAGCGTGGCCGCTCCTGCTCCCTGTGATTGTGGCGTCCCTTGAAGCTATGATCTCAATATCGCTAGACATGGCATCAATGTATTCCAAACGAGTAATTATAACCCCACAAGGAACGGGACATCCTATAAACTTGTGCCCCGAAGTAGATATGCTTCCAATGGGTTTCTTGAAACTAAGCTTCGGTGCCTGTGAACCCATAATAATTTTCTCTGGTTAGGAAATATTGCACAAACATAAATAGGATTAGGTCCAAAACCTCATGCTGAAACTGAAACCGGATTTGGAATTCGAATATTTTGAAACAAGACTTACTTGTTTAATGAAGGGAAGCATGAGTCCAAATAGAGCTGCATCACAATGGATATAGAAGCGATCACGAGTAAAACCACATTCTTCGAGTGTTTGTACCAGGAGATCCACATCATCAATAGCCCCCTTCATAGTTGTTCCTAGAGAACAAAATCACCCTTTCATACCAGTTCACCAGTCATTCAATATGTGTATCTGTAGGGGCGGGGGTTAAAAAGAGACCTATATTGAGGTTGATGATGGCAGGCCTGTCCCTGTGAGCAAGCAGTGAAGCCTTGAGATCAGAACAATCAATCTCACCAGATCTCAGTGTGGCCACCTTCACACATTGCATTCTGTACATTCTTGCTATTTTAAACAGCGAATAATGTGATTCTTCTGACGTATATAGAATCCCACCCGGCAATTGTTCCCTCCTATACATATATATATATATCATATTAGAACCTCATATGCGATCAGAATGATAGATATATAAAACACACATACACACATATATATGAGAGACCAGACGCAACTTACCCTACTAAAATCCCATGAAGATTGCCTTCAGTTCCCCCGGTGGTCACGTATCCCCAGTACTGGTTCTTGTCAATCCCCCACAAGCCAGCGAACCATTCAAGAACACAAACTTCAAAAGCTGCTGAATTGAGAGCGAAGCAGTTTCCCACAAATGGATCGCCAGCATTGTTGATGTGAAAATGCAGCAAAGGCGCCAATACTTCATAGTCAAACTCAAGGTTTGTGGGATAACCTGCTCGTCGATCAGTTAGTTAGTTAACACAACACAATGATTAGGATTTCTTTAAATTCAATGCAGTTCGAGGTGTTGTGCAGCAGTTTATTCTATGTCGAAGAGATGATGAAAAAGGAAATTACCCAGACAGCGCATTTTGCTGTGCGACAGAGACTGAGCAAAGCTGGCGATCATTTGAAGCAAGTGTTCCTCTGAGTGCCCCGAGAGCTCCGTGATGGGGAGGCTCATATTTTGATTTTCTGGGTTCTCTGTTTTGGAGACTTCTTCTCTCAGAGGCATCATCTTTGTGCTAGTTGCTGAGTTTTCTGCCAAACAAGGATCATTCATTGTTTGAGAGAGAAAAAGAGAGACAGGAGACAGTGAGTGTTGGAAGCTGGGGGAAATAAGCAATGCGGGGTTTGTACGGAGAGGTAGCCAATAAGAGGCTCTAGGCCTTCATGGTGGACGGATTTTATCCGGTGCTCGTCATGAGGATAAACATTATATATTTATATTATATTGTAAACATTATATATTTACATTGTAATAGAATCTAAACTATCCAAAATCTAATATAGATAATTTAGATTTAAAATTTTTAATATATAATTTTTTCCATGATAAATTTATTTTTTAACGATATGTTAGTTGTGATATCATTATTTATTTTAAATTTTGTATTTATTAAAACAAAAAGTTGATTAAAATATATAAAAAAATTTAATTCAATCTAAATCATCTAAAATCGATTTGGATGGTCCAAATTGCAATAAGCATGGAATGTGCTTCTGTTGACACTTCAAGTATATTTTTGCCACGTATATATTTATCCCCTATAAAAGAAATAGACCACGCATATGTATATTATATTTATTTTAAATTACGTATCTATTAAAATAAAAAATTGATTAAAATATATAAAAAATTTAAATTCAATCTGGACCATCTAAAATTGATTTGAAAAATTCAAATTGTGATGAGCACATGGAATGTGCTTCCGTCGACGCTCCAAGCATATTTTACCACGCATATATTTATTCCGTATAAAAGGAATAGACCATGGAATTTATATTTTAAACATGAAGTTGATTGATAAAAATTAAATAAATTAGTGGTCCAAATTAATACTTTTGAAAAAAATTCAATTAAAATTTTGAGCGAATAATTAAACGGAACAAGAAAATTAAAGGAGAGGCCATACTCCCATATGAAAAGGGGTGCAAATTATGGGTGGCAGGGGCAAAGAGCATCATTATAGGTGTATTTAATATACATTTTTTTATTCCAATATTTTAAATCCTCTTACAATTGGGGAGATTGAAACAATAGTACACTATATTTTTAGCTACTATCAATGAGGATAATATATTGATAATAGAATATACTTTCTAACAATTGATTGGGTTACGAATAAAAAACCTTTTATTATTTGAGCATATATAACGTTATCCCAAGCTTCCACTATTTCTATATGCCTATACAAAAAAACTAAACTGTACACTAAACCGGTTAAGATAGTGATTTAAGGGTTGTGGATTAAACTAGGATCAACTCAAAATCAAACTGGTGATATTAAAATAATATAATTTAATTGAGAATAACAAAAATATAATAACATTAATAATCACTAATAATAAAATATAAGAAAATATAACAATAGTTTGATTGTGACGATAATAAAGTACAATAACATTGAAAATTTTGATCTTTAAGATTTCTCAATAAATAAAATTGATAACTATTGATATCAAAATCATCATTAAAATTCATTTAAATTTAGAATGGTTGAGATATTAAGAGTTAAATGAGAAAAAATAAGACCAATTATAATACATCCAAATCGGTGATTTCGCCCATTTTATCCCGATTTAACCAGGTTGACACACCTGGTCAAAAGACAAGGTTGACAACGGTTTGATTTCTAACTGGTTTAGTGTCTAGATCAAATCAAACTATTTAACAGGTTTTCTGTTAAACTAGCCGGCTGGGTCTGTTTTTTGTTCACTGGTTACGTGACATTTGCAATCTGTAATTGAAGGTGGTGGTTGACCTATCGTCCGTGCTCATAGCGTTTTGACTGTGAGCGCCTGTTTAGATCCACTAGTAGTTTAAATAATTGAAAGATGGAAAAGGTATCATTCCATGACATGAGAAATTCTTGTGTACACTAGGAGCATCCCTCATTTGTGGTCTCCTCAATTAAATGAAACCAACTCGGTCTCCCTAATTGAATGAAACCAACAACTCAGATGAATTCAGCCTCACATCACATCGCTTGGAAGAGAAACAAAAAGTCATGGTCCCATAAAAGTTTACATATAACAGTTCCTCTCTCTGTCCATTTAATGTCTTTCCCCGCCTCGCTTTTTCACTTCCAACAATGTCCCTCTCCATCCCCTCTACCATCAAGCCACTAAATCTGCCAGCCGTTGAAATTTGAAAACCACCCCCAAAAAATATTGATCAGTTTAACCCATGGTATTGAAAACCAAACCGAAAACCAGTGGGCTAGCTAGAAAAGGCTGTGAACCCGGGTCACAGTGACTCAGTGTGAATTGGGGTGAGTAGGTAATGATCCGGGTAATCTGCCCGGTTTGGTGGGTTAACTCGGGCCCCCTTTAAAAAAATATATTTTTTGATGATTTTTTTTGAAAAGCTGTTGATAATTAAAACTTAGTGATTGAATACTTATGAGGAGGAATATTTTGTTATCATATATTTATTTTGATATTTTGTTGGGATGAATATTTAGTAATTTTAGTGGTATGATATTATAATAAATTGTAAGGATGTGATTATTTTACTAGTGATTCGAAATATTAAATTGATATCTAGTTCTTAATGAAAATTTAAATTTTTTTTTATTTCTCACTAGCTTGACTCCTAGTTTGATTCCGTTTGACCTACTGATCCTTAACCCATTACCTTGACCGGTTCGATACCAATCCGATTTTCAGTACCTTTGTTTAACCCCACTCCACTCATAATGTATTAAAAATATTTATTTATAACATTTATACCTACTAAGTTAATGTTGTAAAATGACAAATACATTTTGAGTGGAAAAACTATTTTATTACTCCCTCCATTCTTTATAATTGTGAAGTATGTCATGTTTTTTTTTATAAAAGATATTTAAAAGTTGTCTCAAATTTTGTGTGTAAATTTTTTATTTTATCCCTATTTAATTACTCATATTACTTATATCATTATATTTAATTTTCACACATTATCTTTCATTCATATAAATGAGAGTATTTTTTACCCAAAAAAATTATACTTTTTACATATTTATTGTCCTCAACTAATTATAACTAACACTTCAAACAATGTAATTTGAGTAACCTTCTCTTATAAAACAGAAGGAAATGAGTACTTGTTAAACTTTGATTCTTATTGCAATTTTGCAAATTCTTTTAAATTTTAAGTCACATTTAGATAAATTTTTTAACTTGTCAATTTTTAATTGAATTGTCACACACACATGTTTTTTACTGATCTTTGATATAAAAGTTAGACAATTAATTTATAAATATTAAAAAATTTAAATATTTTTTAAAATTATATGGATTATAATCATATCAGCTGTTCATGAAAATCTTCTTGCTCTGCATAATTAATAAAGATACTTTAAAAAATTACAAATTTGAGAGGTAAAATAAACTAAGTCTTATACATAACACTAAAATGAATATCTTATGTATTTAAAGCCAAAGTAGTATTTTAAAAAAAAATCACATGAATTTACTTATATTAATTAGGTTTATTCGATCAGATCTTGTTATTGTGATTTTTTATACAATATGCATATATCCATTGGGTTTATTTTTTAAGTTTATTTGCATATACATATGCACATATATATATTACTTATATGTTTAATGTAAAAAATTCAATAGATGTAAAAATATATTAAACAACCCCTAAAATTCTACAATACCGCCGAATTTTATTTAAATGTATATCAGATATGAATAAATATTTTAATATATAACTAACGTACTCCTCTAATCCTATTTATAAGATACTTTCAGCATATTTCACACAGATTAAGGAAAACCTTAAACTTTATTGACTTTCATTTAAAATTTACTAACTTTTCAACTTTATCCCTATTTAATATATATTATACCTTATGTAAACAAAGTTAACACAATAATAAATTAGAAGTAAAATTGTACATCTATACAAAAAATTTCTCTCAGTACCTTATAAATAGGATAAAAATTATTTTTTCTCTGCTCTATAAATAGGACCGGAGAAGTATTTTGTAACATTAACTTAGTTAATATAAATGTTATAAATAAATATTTTTAATAATATTTATTTGGCAACTTTCAAACCATAGTTTCAGAAACACTTTTCTGCAAAGCGAGGTAAATTTCTTCACATATTTATTTTATAAACTGTAAAAATATTTTTAAAACTATAATTTAGTTTCTATCTAAATCTAAACACTCCCAAATTATTACGGGGAAGCGCGTTGGTGTCTTGTGGAATGAGATTAAAGTGACGGCTGAGGGATTTTTTGGATAGTTTTCAAACGGCTGAGGGATTTGGTGGCTTCTGATGGAAGAGAAGAGAGGGGCATTGTTGGAAGTGAAAATGAGAAGAAGAGAGAGACATTAAAGTGACGGTGAGAGCAACTGTCAAATATCAAGTTCTGTGAGACCCACAACTTTTTATTTCTCTGACTAGTGACTATGCCACATGAGCCTGAATTTATCCGGTTTCATTTAATTGGAGAGATCACAGATGATGTGGCGCAAGAATTTCTCCACGTCATAAATAGAAATATAGAAATTCATGGTTTTGTAATTATAATAATAATAATCCGCAGATCCTATCGTTACACATCGCCTCACTAATTTGTTTTATTTGTCAATTTTTGTTTTTGGTATACTTGTTAATCGCTTCACAATTGATGACCCCACCCGCAATGCCCATTCTAATAAACACGATTATTAAATTAAATGCAGTTCAAGGCGTTAGGTGATACAGCACACGTGGGAAAGATGATATATTGAAAAAGGTAATTAATTACCCAGAAAGCGCATTTTGCTGTGCGATAGAGTCTGGGCAAAGCTGGTGATCATTTGAACCAAGTGCTCTTCTGGGTCCCCAGCCGGCTCCAAGATGGGGAAGCTCATATTTGATTATGTGGGTTCTCTGTTTTAGAGACTTCTCTCGCGGGCATCATCTTTGCGCTAGTTGCCGGGCTTTCTGCTGCTGCCAAACAAGATCATTCATTGTTTCAGTCTAAGATTTTGTGGGTGAGGGT